CATTTCCATTTCTTTAAGAGTATTGACTAGCTCAATCCTTAGAAAAATGTACAAAAAGATACGACTGGTAAAAAATAAAAAAACTGTTTCTTAATTCATTTCAAACATTTATAAGGCTTGAATTTTTTTTATTTAAAAAGATGTGAATGGAGTATCAATTGATAAAAATTTATAATTTTTTTAATTGGATCATTCTTGCATAACAATGGCCAATTGAAATTTCGACTCGGCAAGCTTCCTTCTTGTCGGAATATTTCTTGATGATACATTAAACTGATATATTTTAACATGTCATATTTATATGCTCTGTATATGTTATATATGCTTTTTTATGCTCTATATATGTTTTATATATACGCAATGTATGCTTTATATATACTATTTGCTGTTTTATATATACTGTTTTATATATATATATATATATATATATATATATATATATATATATATATATATTACTTTATATATATGATTAATATACTTTATAACTTGTTATGTCGTATTATAATATATACGACATACTATCTCTTCAGAGATATTTTCTTATGCATACGCGTTTGTTGTTGACAAAACGACAAATTAAATTTCGACAAATTAAAGACAGTATATTAAATTATTAAGCCGAGACTTGAACCGAAATGTTTCAATTTCCCGCTAAATTATTATGTCGAAATTCGGACCCGAGTGTTTTGAGATTCCGCTAAACCATTAAGCTGAGATTCGAACCGATGTTCTGAGGCTAATGTTCCGCTAAATTATTAAGCCGAGATTCAACCGAAGTGTTTCCGCAAAATTATTAAGCCGAGTTAGTTAAGCCTGGGATAATTTTTTAAGTTTTATTTTTTTATCATAATTTTTTATTTATTTTTTTAAGTTTCTTAAAGAAATTTTCGCATTTGTAAAGGTGTATTTTCGAAAATGACGTGAAGTGTGCGTATTTCACTCTGCATCGTCTTGGATGACAATATGTGTTAATGTCGCTCTGTTCCCTCAGTAACACATCCAGAATCTTGAAAATAATTTCCCAATATCCCAAAGTCGCGCCCATAACGTTAGATCCATCGTAGCAGTATATTCGGATTCTCGCGCATGCGCGAGAAGAGTGTCACCTGTCCTGCACATGGGCCGAAAGTCAGTTATGTCACATCAGGTTAGATCATACAGTGTTAGCATGTAGTGCAAATTCTGGGATAATATTTTACAGTTTTTTGAGGTAACTTTTGCTTTCGCAAAGATGTATTCTGGAAAATGACGTGAAGTTGAACTATATCGTTCTGCATCGTCTCCCGGGTCACAATGTGTGTTAATGTCACTCTATTCCCTCAGTAATACGCCCAGAATCTTGAAAATAATTTTCCTATATCCCAAATTTACGTTCATAACGTTGGATTCATCGTAGTGTTGTAGGAAATTCGGATTCTTGGGCATTAACCGAAAATCGATCATGTTACTGCAAGTTATTTAGCTCATATAGTGTTAGCGTCTAGAGCATATTTTGGGATATTTTTTACAGATTTTTAATGTAATTTTCGCGTTTGAAAATATGTATTTTCGAAAATGACGTCACGTGTGCGTATTTCGCTCCGCATCGTCTCTTGGATGACAATTTGTGTTAATGTCACTCTACTCCCTCAGTAATATGCCCAGAATCTTGAAAATAATTGTCTCAATAGCCCAAAGCCGCGTTCATAACGTTGAATCCAATGTAGCGTCGTAGGAATATCGGACTCTCGCACATTGGCCGAAAAGACGGTTATGTTACTGTAGGTTATTTATGTTATTTATGTTATTTAGGTCACGTAGTGCATCTTGAGCACATTCTGGGATAATTTTTAACAGTATTTTAGAGTAATTTTCGCATTTGTAAAGGTGTATTTTCGTAAGTGACGTAAAAGTGCGTATTTCGCTCTGCATCGTCTCTTGGATGACAATGTGCGTTAATGTCACTCTGTTCCCTCAGTAACAGCCTAGAATCTTGTAAATAATTTTCCTGTAGCCTAAAGTCGCGTTCATAACGTTAGATTCAACTTAGCGTCATAGGAATGTCAGATTCTCGCCCATTAGCCAAAAGTCGGTCATATTACTGCAGGTTATTTAGGTCATATAGTGTTAGCATCTAGAGCACGTTCTGTGATAATATCTTACAGTTTTTTGAAGTAATTTTCATGTTCACAAAAATGTATTTTCGAAAATAACGTGAAGTTTGACTATTTCGCTCTGCATCGTCCCTCTATCACGTGGGATGCTCTGTTTCAGATTTGCACGTACTTTCACCATGTAAAAGGGTTTTTAATTTTGTCGAATCAACACGAAACAATAGTTTTGCAAAGGTATTCGGTATCATGTCAACGACATTTCCCAACAAATTTTACTTTGTGTTGACTTGAGCAAATTAAAAATACTTTTGTATAGTAAAAGTACATGCATAAATGAAATAGGGCATTCCTGCGTCAAGGATGAAAACGATGTGGAATTATTGCTATCGCGACACTGATTTCATTTTTCAAAAATTACAGCATACCAACTCCAATTTATATGAAAAAAGCTCCAATTTATATGAAAAAATTGCATGCGAAAATAAAATATAACATTGGTCAGTGCGAAATGAAAATGATATCTCAAGTTACCATTGCTAATTATATTGAAAAATAAAATAATAGGTAACGTATTTTTAAAAAAATTACTCGCAAACTACGCTTGCGACTATACTCTTCTCTAAAAACTCTTTTTTTAATGGATCCAGTATACAAGCAATTTGAAGAATTTATCAGAAAAGTAGTAAGAGCTTATTTTGGAGAGAATGCGAATATTAACAACGCGACATACACATTTACGTAACGTCTATGTGTAAGAAAATTGAAATAATAACGTAGCACACACTTGCATAACATCTGTGAAAAGATGATAGCGGTATCATGTTAGCTCCTATTTGACGATCGTCTTTATTTCATAAATTTATGTGTAAATTCGATATCGTCGGTAAATGATGATAACGTTTTCTACTTTTTGATGATCGCTCTACGTTATCGATGATTATCAGGTTCGTCGCTCGTTCCGACATTCCCTTAATTATAACTTTTACAGTTGGCTCAGCTCACGGTCGCTCTTTTATCGTCTGATATATAGTTAAATTCGCCGTGGTCAGGGGGTCGAGTTTGCACAGCTGTGATTCGGTCGATCACCTCAGTTTGGCTCGACGTTGCGTTACTTGCGTATAGAAAGAGTATTTATGTGCCCGCTCGTACTGTCCCATTTAGCTTGATCGACAAACTTCGTTCGGTTCTCGATAGCGGCCCGCAACTTGTAAGCGCGCTTGACGAGCGCCAGTCGCGATAGATACGTCGAACTAATGTACGTTCCAGTTTCACGCTAGTTTTCTGCCGACGGTGATGGTTGATCGTGTTACTATCTCGATGCCGCATCGATTCGGTGTCGTGACAAGAGGCGTTATATGACTCGGAAAGTGTCACCGCCGTCGCGACGGCCCGTTCACTGCTCCGTTCACCGTCTCTCTTCTTCGTCTCTTCGGAGATGTCGATTATCGCGGTGGTACGCGCGCGAATCGCGTGTCTATTAAGAGCTCATTGGCTGCCACTTATTCATCTTCAAACACTTGAAAGGGTGTCCGGAGAAAGATTCATTGTTCTATTCAAGAATCAGTGTTGGACATTGCTCGGTGAAAATTTTCTCTAACCAAAATAATCAAGAAATCAATAATTCATCAATTGTTACATGTAAAATTACAAGTAATTTTATCGACTGATGAAATTACTTGCACTATGTTACAAGTTTTGATCGATTTTTTACACTTTTATCAGGAAGGATTGTTTTCTTTAGTAAATCGGTTGCACTAGATACAAATATGACTATATTCAAAAATTATCACACCTGGTTTCTGAGAAAATATAAAAAAACACATTTTTTGTGGCGTTTAAATCCCTGTTATCTCGATAAGTTAAATGAACAGTTTTGGGATCACATTTGTATTCTGTGATTTACTAAAGAACAGTCTTCCGTGACAAAAGTGCAAAATCTTGTAACATGTTGTTATTGATCAGCGTAGAATTAATCAAAATTGATAATTCATTTCATCAGTCGATCAAAACATTTATGATCTTGCGATTAATTTCGTCGAATAATTAATTTTGATCGTTGCTTTACCGATTACTGCAGTCGAAGAAAATTTCCATCGATTAACGCGTCCAATACTGCGCGGAATTGATAAGATCGGCGCAGGAAATGACGTGGTGTGGTCGATGAGTACTTACGGTGATCGTATGGCGACTCGAAGGTGATTGACGCGATACGCGGCACGTCCTCGGTGATATCGATATCTGCAGATTTCCTATAAACGTCTTGGATGAAGGCCGTGCAGCGTAGACGTAAACGTCCGTTTCGGAACATATCCTTCGTCACTCTGAACTCCACCAGCGATTTCGTAGTCTTCGACTCGTCCGGATGAGAAGTTTTGTGATAATGCATGATGAACTGTCCAGTACTCTCTCCGATCTAAGGAGAAAGTAAAACAACATAAAATAGCTTAAACGTGCACTCTACAAATACTCTTTACAAATACTTTGTATTTTTAAATACTTTTTTCTTTTTTAACGAATTCTTACACGGAATGTTTACACGGAAAAACGGATTTGATTGGATTAACCAAATTTCTGGTAAAATATGAATGAGCGAGAAATTCCGATAGAGGTTATTAGAATTCTGTTCAAATTAATAAGATTTCCGTGGTTAACATGAATCGAATTTTCCTTAATCCAATCAGACGTTTTTTCCGCATAGAACTTGTCATTACGCGGATATAATTTATGCGCGCTCGTAGACAGAGTGCGCGAATAAATCTTCTCGCAATGAGTAAACGTTTCCAAAGGCAATCAGTCATTATAGTACGTCAGAAATCGACGGAGTTAGGAATATAATGTTAGATAATCGATAATCGATCTTTTTAATAAAAAGTACTTCTCTCTCTCTCTCTCTCTCTCTCTCTCTCTCTCTCTCTTATCGCTTATTCTAGGGAACTGTGCAAGTATCGAAATACCTTTCACATTCACTATCATATTTCACAAAGGGGATTATTGTTACTGCTTGCTAAGGATATCACGTGGTTACGTTGCTCTTAATGTAGATGAAGCTTGTCTTTTGTCTCACTCGCGTCTATCGCAGCTGCGCCCTTTGTCTCCGTGCGAGAATAAGATGAAAAAAAATGCGCGGATGAGGGTGAGGTGGGTCGAGGGTGAGGCACAACTCGCTCAGCGTTATTACTTCCCAGGAACGAATGTGAATGCGCATCGAGTTTAACTGCAGTAACGCGCAGATTCCGCGTGATACGTGCGCTATAAATTTTCACCAGCTATAAAGCTTAGCGCGTTCATTCAAGACTCCTCCTAAATTGTACATCGACACTGTTTAACGATATATCACATCATCTCTCACATTTTACGCGCGATTTTGCGAACGAGACGCGCGACGCGAATCTCGATACGGATCTAAAGATATAAATATCCGAGGATATAAATCTCTAAATAGACGGAGACACACAGAGAGAGAGAGAGTGGAGTACATTTAATTCTGAGATTGAATTAACTCCTTTGAAGTTCTTGGTAGCAGAGTCTAGTTATATAAATAGCAAGTAGTTTCTGAAAAATTTAGTGATGCCATAAAGCGCGACGTAATTATGTTAAATTCAAACAAAATTGCAGACTGCGGCTAACTGTTGGTAGATGAATCTTTTTTCACTTATCTCTTGACGGAGCATTTGCGAGTGAATCGTCAGCGTCGCACAAAAATCCGCGAAGCACGAAGGGTTGAGATTCCGCGCGCTGAGCAATAATCGCGCTGAGATAATAATAAATATCGTTCATCGCGCCATTTGTTAGAAAGACGCGCGGATTTTTCCCGAGCGGCCGTACGTCGCGATCGCGGCGAAAGTATAAATGTGTGTCGTACGGTTCTCGTAAATAGATACACATGAGTGTGAAGGACGGGGGAGG